GGCGGCTGCGGCCGCCTTCTCCGGGTTGGCGAGCAGGGACTCGGGCACCAGGCCGGCGCCGGCGCCCGCGTGCAGCCCCGCGCCCGCCTTCAGCGCCGGGTGCTCGGCGTCCGCCACACCGCCCAGGCCGTAGGGCACCGGGAAGGCGAACTTGTCCTTCTTAAGCAGAGTCTTGGGCTTGCGTCGCGGGCGGTACTTGTAGTCGGGGTGCTCCTTCATGTGCATGGCGCGCAGGCGCTTCGCCTCGTCGATGAACGGCCGCTTCTCCGACTCGGTGAGCAGCTTCCACTCGGCGCCCAGGCGCTTGCTGATCTCCGAGTTGTGCATCTTGGGGTTCTCTTGGGCCATCTTGCGCCGCTGAGCTCGCGACCACACCATGAAGGCGTTCATGGGCCGCTTAACGTGGTCCACCGGCTTGGACATGCTCTCGCAGGGCCTCGGCTGCAGGCCGCCGCCGCCGCCCGGGCCCTCGCCCTCGGCCCGGAGGAAATCAATGTTGGCTGCCCGCGGGGACCCGTCCGCGCTCGCCGAGTCTCCCCTGGCGCTCCGGCGTGGCTCCCGCGCGGGAGGTGAGAAGTGGGGTACGTGCCCAGGACCGGCAGTGCACCCAGCCGCGCTGTTCCTCCGGCGGCGCGCCACCGATAATCCTCTCCCCGGAACCCCAACTTCTCGAGGTGGCGCTTTTCGCTTGGTTTCTCTGTCCTTTCTCCCCGGCGGTGCAGGCTGGCCAAGTCCCTGCAGGTGGCCGCTGCTCCCCCGAGCGCTTCCCCTCCTCCACTTGTCCCCCTTAGATGCAATGCAGTTCCCAAAGTTGCGACGTCAGGCTCCACAAAGTTGAGCCGAGAAGCCAACCGCCGCCGCGCCCGGCCCAGTTCCAAAGGGGGCTCTCGGCTGCTGTGGCGCTGGGGTTCTCCGGGGTGACTCTCTCATTTGACAGCAGCGGCTGGGGGTGGGGAGGAGAGGTGGCCGGGAGAAAAAGGAGGCGGCGGCAAGGAGGAGGGTCCGGGGCGCCGCGAAGCAGGACGCGCCACGGACACACCGGCTCAGCAGGTCTCCTGGGTTCCCGGCGAGGCGCGCTGCAGGGAATCAGCAAGATTATTGAAGAAGGCCAGCAATTCGCTTCGGGGGTCTCCTTGTCTCTTTCTCCAGCAGGAGGGAGGGGCGAGGAAGGAGGCTGGAGAAAGCTCGAGCCGGCTGAGTCCGAGGCCTCAGAGAAAGTTGTCCCGAGTCACCGGGGCGCCGCGGCTCGCCTTTCCCGGGCCATGCTGACTCGGCTCTCCCTGAGCCCCTCGGGACTGGGCACGCGGGGCCGCTCAAAGCGCGAGGGGCGGCCTCTTTGCCCTGGCTCGCTTGTCTCGCCGCAACCCGACACTTGGAACTAACTTCGCCCAAGTTCGCTGCGCAGCCGCAGCCGCCGCCGCTCCGGAGCGCTCTCCTCGGAGCGACCGCCGCGTGGGAGCCCCGGCGCCTCTCTCCTCCGTCCGCAGGTCAGGGCCTAGCCAGAGAAGGACCCAAGGTACTGGAGGAGGGGGCTTAAAGAAAACGCGCCATCACCTCAGTTCTCTGTGCGTTTGGCAGCTGCTCTGAGTCCCGCAGTTCCGCGGTAGGACGGGCCTCGGCACCACTTAGGTCCTCCTGGAGGGTCGGGAGCTGTCCGCGAAGGCTCAGGTGAGCGAGGCTACCTGCGTGCGCCAGCGCCCGGAGCCGGCGCAGAGAGTGCATGTCCGGCCGCTGCCGGGGGTGTGTATATCTGGGGACATGAGGAGGAGGTGGAGCCCAGCACTGGAGCAGGAGGGAGGGACCAGCCGAGCCTCCTCCCGCTCCCACACCCCCGGGACCTGGAATATTAAACAGGTTCTCCGCTGCCCACCCCCTCCTCCCACTGCTTTTCTTTTGAGAGCAGGTTTAGGCGAGTGGAGAGCCCGGAGCGCGCCGCCGAGTCTGCGCACTCTTTGGCGTTGGCAACCCTTGGTGTCATCCCCCTATTACCCTGGACGGCCTCACGCGGCGGTGGTCGCAGCTCCAGGAACCGAGGCCCTGGAGCAAGAGAGAAAGCGCGCACAAAGTGGAGAGCCCAGCGTATTGCCTGGAGTTACCCGGAAAAGGGTTAAAACTGGGGGAGGCAGGGCGCACCCTTGAAAATCTTTGAGACTTTGCTCACCGAGAAAAGTGCCAGTTCTAGCTGAAGATCCGGATGTTACTTGCAACAGATGCTGCCCGAATTTTCTTGCTTTGGTGATGCAACCTGCCAGAGGTAGTGGGGTGTGAGGAGGGCCTGAGCGCGCTCCTGACAACCTTTGCTAAGACAAGCTAGCCGGGGCTGAAAGCAGGCATCCTAGGCTTACTAATAAACTCCTTAAAAATGACTCTTCCATAGAAACAAACCAGAAACTATTCTGGTCGTCAAAGTTGCTCTGTGTTTAAGGTACAGTCATCTTGTAGTATCTCATTTAAATGCACAGATAAGGTGAAGATGCAGAAAAAAGCAAAAGCGTTAACACATTTTTGAAAAAGGGGAAAGAATGCTATTTTACCCTCCTGAAATATTTTAAAACTGTCAAGCACAATTTTCTCCTTTGGTAATTAGAACAGTTTTTTTCTCTATCAGACAGGATGTGAAGTCACGCCGCCGCATGCCTTTGTTTGCATATTTTTCTCACTTTTGGGTAGGCTGCAGAACGTTAGAGCACGATCTTTTCGGAGGTGTGAGTCATAAGCTGGCCCATCCTTCGGGGAGAATTTGCTTGCCTTCTGAGAGTCATGTGTTGTGTGCAACGCGGAACTCTTGTAACGGTTAACTTTTTAAACCTTTCTGAAATTTGTATTCAACACACACTCAGACCCTTGGTTAGAATTACAAATTCATAATCTATTTTAGGCCATCGGACTTGCCTAGAAATAAAGTGGGATTCTTTTTCTTATAAAAAGAATAGTAATTACTGCCTTAATTTTATTGATTGTAGAAACATTGCAACAGTGAGACCCAACAGTGACATACATGGGAGATTATGTTTTCCCTCTTATGATGCCATATTTACAGATGTTTATTTTTTGTCATGGAAGCGCCGTTGTTGACTGGACTGCTTCCTCTGGTGCGTTATTCTTTTACAGGCTCTGCAAAGATGCTGTCATTCACACATTCTGGGAGGAGCACTGTTAAGACACTAGCAGGTGTAATTACATAGACAGGAATATTAGCTGAACTGTTTGGGGGTGATAAATTACAATATTATCACCCTTAAGCTTTAGTGATACTGACTTGTATCATAAGTTTCAGACAAAAACATTAGGCACTGTTGTGTAAAAGCATATGTATACAGATAGAGCTGCAGAAAACCTGTCATTCCTTAAACATTGTGAGTAAAGTTGAGTCTAAACTGTGAAAATAATCTTTTCACTTAAAGAGTGACAAGAATTGGGGGAAGATATTTTATATTTTGAAATTAAATTTCTACTATATTAAATTATCAAATAATCTACAGTAAATCATTAGCAGTGGAAAGAAATCTGAGTCTGTGCCATTGAAATGTCTAGCTTGTCTATCTATCTATCCAAAACCAGTCTTGAATATATTTTTCCAGTACAAACTGTAGCATTTTGCTTGTACAATGATATTCAATGAAGCCAATTTTAAGTTCTTAAGCCCATGAATATTACACTACGGAAAACATGACACGAGAAGAAAATTGCTGTTTTGTATGTTCATTTGTCCATTTTCTGAGTAAAATCCCACACTTTAAGACTGCAGAGATTCAGGATTCAGTTTCTGTTATTTAGGGAGCAATGTTCTAGGCCTGAAGCCTTCACAATCTAAGGAAAGAGCCCTTATGAGAAGTCAGGCATTACAGGAAGGCAGTGTGACATTGCTGTTATTAAACACACGCCACACTTCTTTGCCTGAATATGAAGTGAGCTTTTAGCAAAGTAAAAATTTAAACCATCCTCTTTATGCGAAAACATAAATCTACTTTTCATTTCTTCAGATCTTATGTTTGAATTGAGTGACGTTTTTGTTAGTTATCTGACCAAGAAATGAAAAGTAGCAGGACGTCAGAAGGAAACGGAATAGTCTCTGTGAGTGAATTAAGTGTGGGAAAAAGAAACAGATTCATAAGTCTGATGGGCTTGACGGTTAGCTCCTGACTCTTGACTATGAGCTAAATAGACAACAGAATAATTTGTTCATCTTAATCTGTATGGAATTTGGTGGTGTTTTTTTTTTGGAGGGGGCACAGTAATATCTGATATTACAAGTATATCTAAGTGGAAACAGAGACACCACTTCAGAAAAATTTCATAGATCTGCTTATATGCAGTTTCCCCTTTTCACCCCTCTTAGATTCTTCCCAGCCAAGGGTATCTTCTCAGTTTTAAAAGTTTCACTAGGAGGCAGCAATGAGGTTGCTGGGGAATTAAAAAAAAAAAAAAACCCACACAAAAAAACCCAGCCAAACTACCTTGGCTGTACCAGAGTGATTCTCTTCCCAGAGAAGGGAGGGGGCAGGATTTGGGACCCAGAGGAAGATACGAGATCTGGGATCCTAGGGAGCGAAGTAAATCCTGTCCCATCCTTTCAGTCTTCTCTTCCTTGTTACTTTTTCACTCAGATGGTTCATTAGCATTTTTTTTTAACCATGAAAGTAATAAGCCACAGAAAAATGAAACATCACAAACCTTTGGGCTGTTTTAGAGGATCGAATAGAGAGGCAAACATGGCCACATGGACTGTAGAGGACAAATGTCTGGTGGACACAAACATTTGGGATTCTGTTCCCAAGCAAATGCAGGCCAAAATTCATAAGCTTCCCTCCCTGCCCAGAAAGGGGATACAGCCTCTTGTTGAGAAGGAAAGGGGGGGGGGCAAAGTCTAACCCTTAGGCTGAACTGCCCTCCAGCTCCCAGCTCTCCTCCCAGCCCCACCCCCATCAGTTTTCATGCACTCAAAGGCAAACTCACCACTGTGGAGAGGGACCCCACTCATAGCGAACCCTCCAAAGATTTACCTAGGCTGTATACCTCATGGGAGGAGATGGGCCATATTGCTCCCAGGGGGATTCAAATTGCCAGAGAGATGACACTGTTGGGTCAACAGCACACCTCCTTTTTCACCACAGCACCAGAGCGGTTTTTGTAGCAAAGGCGTGGGCCATAAAACCAACCAAAAAACCCAACCCCTAAACTGAGAAGAATCTTTGAGTTTAGTCTCTAACAATAAGGAGCTCTGGTGGCAAAATATTTAAGGTTGTTGTCATGCTAATAAAAAATCCGTGTTTTCCAGAGACTGGAAGTCCCCGGAGCTGTTCTGTGGCAGAAGATAGGCAATCTCCAAGATTTACAGCCTTCAACACCTGATTGGAAGGGCACTGGGGGTCAGAACCAACCCAACAGCAATGGATTTAACTGGAGTGGTCCTTTGCCCTTAC